GGGACTGGAGACGCGATGGGACACGCCCCCTTCGCGGGCACTCGGGGAAGTTCTCGAATCCGGGGGGCTGGCCACCCCCAATTTGAGGGCGACCTGACTTACGCGGGCACCAGGTGGTTGACCTGCACGAGGCACGAAGGCCCGGGGAGGCAGCTGTTTCTGAGAGACCCGGGGAACGTCTGCAGGAAAGCTACCTGGACGGCCCAGCACCCTAATTGCCGTTCCTTGAAACGCCATGGGAAGGCCACGGTAGAGACGCAGTGTTAGGCCAGTGACACTCGCAGGTACATGCATGTGCGCCAGAGAGCTTGCTGTCAAGCAGCCATGTATCAGTCAAAACATTCGAGCCCGGTCTGACTCCGGTCCATTAAGTCCAGTACTGGTCCATAAGTATGATTGACATGCTGAGTTCCACCCTTATCTTCTTACAGGTGCCATGTTGGCACCAAACCTGATGATCACAGTCCACTCCTTGCCAACTTGGCACTGGCACACAATTCTTTAGCCGTATGTCATTTTTAAACAAAACAAAATCATATTTGTACCCAACAGGATACAACTAAAATGTAGCAAATGATAATGTGTCACCCATTCAAACGGAGTAATCTATAAATTAACAAAACAAAAATGTTCTATGCAATTTCAGTTATGTGAATACCCACACTCTAGTCCTATCCACATATCTCCCCCCCCCATGAAAGTTTGTAAGGCAGCCATTTCATGCCTTTATTCTGCCCTCCCTCCTCCCCCCCAGTTTTGGGTATCCAATTTCTATACCGCCACTTAAATCAACCCACTGCTCTGAGGAGACAAGCATGTTCTGCAATGTGAAGAATCTTCATTCCAACTGGAACCTGGTAAAGTCCAATCAGATAGGCCATCCATACAGTCAACAGCAATACGCACCAGTTCACAGGCTCAAAAGTCTTATCTCCATCGGGTTGGGTTATGATCACCTCCATGTGGGCAGCTTTGCTTAGCCTCACCAGCGTGCCCATTGGCCGCTTGCCTTTCCACTATGGGCAGCGTCCCAAATTCTCAACAACCCTAGCCTCCTTGGGCTAGGTCATGCTGTGGGCTCAGGGTCCACACAACTCTCTCTACACATCAGACCAGGCAACCTGCTCTCGTCTTTTCTTGTAGTCCCTGTGAACCAGGTCCACAGGCATCAGTGGCCAGACTCAACCCTTGTCTCTATTGCTGCCTGTCTCCTGCTGGCAGGAGGCAGGTGGATCCAGGTGGTCACCCAGCGAGCATTTCAGGCTGCCCACAATTCGCTGTAACATCCAGTCCTTGGGAGGACAGTTCCTTCATGGTTTTTCCAGCTTCAGGAGCAAACCAGCAGTTCAAAGTTCAAAAAGGCCAAATAGCTCCTTTTTTTCCTGTCTGCCAACAGCCCTTTTAGCAAGTCATACCAAACACTCCTATACCCATTTAAAGACCCAATTTAATGTAGGCATACTCTTTTATTTTCATACTCCCCAATAATCATTTCTGTCACATTTTATCAGTAACAGTTGGCAGAAGAAAGCAGGATAAACCTAGTAGTCATATCCTCAACTTCATTCTTAAAACAAATTCAATCCTTATCTAAACTTTTCCATTCGTATGCAAAATGGCCTTAGGCCTCTGGCAGCCTCAAGCAAGGGCCAGGCCCTCTGTCAGCCATTTTGACCAGTGGCATCATCTCAGAGAAGTTCAAGGGGCGTTTTCAACCCCAGCTCAAAATTTGCATTTATCACACTCATTTTTGTCTTCTTAGACAGGAATAACTAGAGAGGACTCAAAAGTGACTTCCCATGGTCTTTCCAGTAAACTGCATGGTCACATCTGACCTCTAGGTAGCCAAAGAAGAAAAATTGTGATAAGGCAGAGGTCAGACAAGCCTCTGTTCTCATTCATGATTTGCTTGTCTTAAGGTACCTTAAAGTGTTAGGCCGGATCCAGTGCCACACATGTGTAAGCGCTTTATATCAAGAAGTAGTTATATATCGGGAAAACATCCCAGCCCAACTCAAGTCCGTAAATCCCTCTTCAGACACGTGGCCACACGCAATGATGCAGAATGCAGGAGGATCACAGGCTGGCGGGTGCAGTGTCTTGTGCATCCACTGGTGGTGGATGCGTCTCCAGGGCTCTGGCATCCATCAGGGTCAGCAAGCCAGAAAGTGAAAACCAGGGGTGGGGGTGGGGTCGTCATTCAAACTGTGACCTCATTGACAGGCTAACCTCCACCCATAGCTTCTTACAGGTGCCATGGTGGCACAAAACACTTAACTGTCACACTGAGTAATCTCTGCTACAGCAGCTATGTGTTTCTCCCAAATCTGTGTACTGTCACAGGGGAGCTCTAGAAACGGGGGGAACTAGAGAATTAGGTTGTAGAGCCTAATTAGGTTGTGGAGAGGTGCTAGGGAGAAAGAGGAGAGCCGCACACTGGAGCTGGGAGTGCTGGAGTCAAGGAACTGGAGCTGGGTGCCCAGGAGTCTCTCTGATTGAGGCTTGAGGGCACAAAGCTGCTAGAACCCACAGCTGAAAAGTAGGCTGAGAAGATGAGGGAGGAGGGTTTCTAAGCACTCTTAACCTTCTCTTCGGCCTTCTGGTCAGGCCCCCCACAGGATGCAATGGCGCAGCCCCCCCGGCTGAGCCGCTCTGCTGCCCCCTCACTTTGGGACCCAGCTTCCACTGCTCCAACCTCAGGCACCAGGCCTCGACTTTGGGAGGGTCAAGATGTACTGGCCAGATGGACTGATGGGCTACTGTACTTGGGGACCATCAAAAAGGTAAGGAAGGCTTTGGCCTCTGATCTGTCACCGTCTTCTTATCCCTTTTATAATCCTGGTGCTCTTTCATCCTCTGTGCGCACCATTCCAGGTGGACAGTGCTCGGGAAGTATGTCTGGTCCAGTTTGAGGATGATTCCCAGTTTCTGGTTCTATGGAAAGACATTAGTCCTGGTGAGACTCAAGAGGCATCCTGTGGAAACAACCTCGGGGGCCGGGATGGGAAAGGGGGCAGGAGGCCTGGCCCCCTGACACCATGTTTTCTCCCAGCGGCCCTCCCCGGGGAGGAACTCCTCTGTTGTGTCTGTCGCACTGAGACTGTGGTCCCTGGAAACAAGCTGGTCAGCTGCGAGAAGTGTCACCACGGTGAGAAGTCTGGTCCAGCTTGCTTTGGGCCTCCTCGGCTGCTTTTTGCCCTTGCCTCCTGTGCCACCTGTTCAGCCCCTAAGTCCTCTGCAACCCCGGTTCACCACTCCATCCAGTCTCCCCAGCCCTCCTTGTCTTCCAGCCCAGAAAGCCACGAGAGAGGAATGGGAGATGGGGTAGCTTTCAATGTGGTTCAGCTGCACCCTTTCGATGCCCATGTGACCTTGGGCAAGTCCCTTAGTCTCTGGAAACCTCTGTTCCCTTCACCTGTAGATAAAGAGAATAACTATGTCTCTTGTCCAGCGGGACCAGGGTCAAACGTTGAGATGGATAAGACGGTTCTTATTCGGATGCCTAATCTACACCTCGTGCTGTCTGTTAATGGTCTGTTGCCCACATCTGTCATTATTTAGCGTTTCATCAGGACTGCCATGTGCCGAGGGCCCCAGCTCCCGGAGAGGGAGAGGGCCCATCTCCCTGGGTTTGCCGCCAGTGTGTCTTTGCCATCGCCACCAAGGTACTTCCTGTTACCCTTACTGAATCTTAAGGGTAAAGTTCCCTTTTTTGTGGTAGCTCCCAGAGGAGACCTGGTGGTGTAGTGGTTATGTGTTGGGCTGCTAACCACTAGGTCAGCAGTTCAAAACCACCAGCAGCTCCTTGAGGGAAAGGTAAAACTTTCCATTCCCATAAAGGGTTCTCAGAAACTCCAGGGGCAGTTCTGCCCTGTCCCGTGGGGTCTCTACGCACCAGCATGGACTCGATGGCAGGGAGTTTTGTTGTTCAGTGGGAGCTCTGGGGCCAACAGGCTCTCCCCAGTTCTCTCCTCACTTGTCTGAAACCTCCTGCTTGTTCTGTCTGGGCAGAGAGGGGGTGCCCTGAAGAAGGGGCCCTACGCCCGGGCCATGCTGAGCATGAAGCTTTCCCTGCCATACGGACTAAAGGGGCTGGACTGGGACGCTGGACATCTGAGCAACCGTCAGCAGAGTTACTGCTACTGTGGCGGCCCTGGGGAGTAAGTAATTGGGGATAGGGTGCTGACCACTGAGTGAAGTGGGGAGGGGGCAGCCCAGGGAATGTAGAAAAAGAATGGGGGGGGCGGGAGAGGGAGTAAGTAACAAGCTGCATTTGGGGGCCGTTGGGAGGTGGGGCCTGGTGGACACTTGCCTCCCATTCCCCTCAGGTGGAACCTGAAAATGCTGCAGTGCCGGAGCTGCCTGCAGTGGTTTCACGAGGCCTGCACCCAGTGTCTGAGCAAGCCGCTCCTGTATGGTGACCGGTGAGCTCAGGAAGGAACTGCCCAGCAGCTGGGGCGCTGACTTGATCCGTGCTCCACCGCCTCAGCTGTGCCCTTCTCTCCTCCAGCTGCTCCCAGCCCCCACCTTGTTGCCCTGTCCCTGCTGCAAGCCCTCCGCAGAACATAGTTTTCCAGCAGTAGACACATTCTCTCTCTTGCCCATGTCCAGGTTCTATGAGTTTGAATGCTCTGTGTGTCGAGGGGGCCCTGAGAAGGTTCGGAGGCTACAGCTTCGCTGGTGAGCTTGGTTGGGCATGCATGACTTCTGATTCCTCCCGTCACACCCCAGTATTTCACCTATCTGGGTTCAGCACGGTGCTGAGTTGATAAGGTCAGCGGTTCTAGCCTGCCAGCTTCTTGGGAGTAAGATGAGGCTGTCCGGTCCCGTAAAGACTGACCCCTTGGAACCCCTTGAGAGCAGTTCTGCTGTGCCCTAAATCGAATCCAAGGCAGTGGTCTTGGCCCCAGTTCTGTTCCCCCTCTGGTTTTGTGATGTTTCTGTGACCTTGACAGTCTTTCTGTGCCTCCAGGGTGGATGTGGCCCATCTGGTGCTCTATCACCTCAGTGTGTGCTGTAAGAAGAAGTACTTTGATTTTGACCGGGAGATTATGCCCTTCGTTTCTGAGAACTGGGACAGTTTGCTCCTGGGGGAGGTAAGGGGTGGTGAAGCAAGCTGTGCCGCTTGAGCTGGGAGAGGGAGGTGGCGGAAAAGGGTGGTGAGAGCTTGTTGCTCCCCTGACCCTGTGCACCACCCCCCACTTCCAGCTATCAGACACCCCTAAGGGAGAACGCTCTTCCAAGCTCCTCTCTGCTCTCAACAGCCACAAGGACAGGTGAGTTGGGAGAGAGGAGGCAGTGTTAGTTGAGGCTTCAGAGAGCGAGCTCTGGGAGCCGGGGAGGGAGGGGTTGCGGCCCACCTAGAGGACGTCTCAGCAGGAGTGGGACCTTTTGCCTGGAGCACTGACCCTGTGTCATTTCTCCTTGCCCAGGTTCATTTCAGGGAGGGAGATTAAGAAGAGGAAATGCTTGTTTGGCCTCCATGCTCGGACCCCTCCCCCTGTGGAGCCCACTGGAGATGGAGCCCCCACCAGGTCACTGGTCCAGCGGGGATGGGGGCGTATCAGGGATTCGTCTGGGGAACTATGGCCATAGAAAGCTGGTGGGGGTGGTCTTTGGGGTGACCGGGAGGGGGCTGGGGGGATAAGGAGGCCTCTTACAGCTTCCCTTCAGGGCAGGGCCCTGGGGGAGGGGTCTCACGGCCCCTGGGGAAACGCCGGAGGCTGGAGCCAAAGCCTCTGAAGCGGAGGCAGAAGGGGAAAGTGGAGAAGCTGGGGCCCCCCTCGGCAGAGCAGCATCAGCCCGAGACCCTGGAGCAGAGGGAGCGGAGAGAGCGGGCTCGTCTGCAGAGGGCGCTGCAGGTACGGAGGTGGAACCCCTACAGGGCGAGTGGTTGGTGCAGGAAGAATCCAGGAGCCACTCAGTGTCTTGCTCCTTCCTTAGGCCTCAGTGTCTCCACCACCCCACAGCCCTAACCAGAGTTACCAGGGCAGCAGCGGCTACAACTTCCGGCCCACAGATGCCCGCTGCCTGCCCAGGTGGGTCAGCGTCTTCGTCAGATGTGGTCTCTGGGAACCACTTCCTCCCATTGTTGATGTCCTCTGCCGCCACCACCCCATTTCCTTTCCCTCACCCTCGGCTATCTCCTATTTGTCTGACAATAGCAACCCTGGAGAAGGTCGTGTTTGAGCTGCCTTTCCTGGGGTGGGGGTGGGGGGCCTGTTCCCCTGCGTCAGATCCTGATGACATTCACCCTCCCAAACCCAGCAGTCCCATCCGGATGTTCGCTTCCTTCCATCCCTCTGCCAGCACTGCAGGGACCTCTGGGGACGGAGAACCCCCAGACAGGTGAGTCTAGCCTCCCACACCTGTGTGCTCACATCCAGTTCTGGTCAGTCCTTGCCTGCATCTCTTTGGGTTCAATATTGCCTTCTCTTCCCCAGGTCACCCTTGGAACTTCACATTGGTCTCCCCACAGACACCCCTAAAAGTGCTCCCCACTCGATGACTGCCTCCTCCTCCTCAGTCCAGGCCCTTTCCCCAGGTCTTCCTAGACGCTCAGCAACCCCTTCTCCCCTCTGCCATAGTTTGTCTCCAGGGACGGGAGGAGGAGCCCGAGGTGGGGCTGGCACTGGCTACCTATCCCCAGGGGACCCTGTCAGGGTCCTTGCTAGGAGAGTAAGGCCTGATGGCTCTGTGCAGTACCTGGTTGAGTGGGGAGGCGGCGGCATCTTCTGAACGCCCAGCCTCTGCCCATCTCCCCACTGTCACACACACACACCCCCACACACCGGCACTTTCATACCCTGACCTCACCTGCAGCTGGGATGTACCTGGGGAGGTAGAGGGATGGGGCAGTGGGGAATTCGGGTGGGGGTGCGAGGAAGAGGCTCTCTTCGCTACCCTCCTTCATGATTCCTGATCGCCACCCCCTTCCCCTTCCTTCTTCCCATTTTTTGATGTTATTTTGTTACAGCTTTTAAAATATTTTTAAAAATTATTATTTAACCCCTGGGAGTGGAGACTGAGGAGGGGAGGGGGGAAATGATAAGGGATCCCAGATTCTGTATGATTGAAATAAAGCAAAATTAAACAACTCTAGCAGCTGAGTCATTGGGGGGGACAGACGGACACACACTTGATTAGAAGCATTTCTCGTCTTGCCAAGCACATTTGCACACATGACAAGAAAAGACAGTGAAAACTTGAGAGGGTTTAATGGGGACCCAGCCATCACCACACCACCAGGGGGTCTTGGTGCTGATGAGGGGGATCACAGTGAGGGCACAGTAGGGCTGTCCACAGTCGGGTGGTGCTGGGAGCCAGAACCCTTTGTCACCTGGTGCACCCAGTGCAGATAGGGGACATTCCCCTGCTCCACGGGCAACGCAATCACCTCAGCGACTTCGTAAGGGTGCACAGAACTGCAAACGGGGATGGAAGGCAAGAGTCACTCAGGTTTACCAGGTATTACCCCCCCTCCCCCCTTGAGACGGCCCCGGAAGTTCTCACCGAATAAATTCTGTCAAAGCTGGAACCAAGGCACTCCGCGTTTTAATCATCTAATGGGTAAGGAGAAATAGTTTGCGTCAAGAGCAGGGTAGACCAGAATCTCACGGCGCGGGCAGGAAGCAAGGGGATGTCAGGGAACAGGGTGGCTCGGTTGGCATGTTCCTCACCATTAGCACCTCGTGGTCTTCCTCAACCTTCTTTTTCCACTCGTAGCTGAAATGGAAAGGTTATGGAGAGCACACGGGGTACCCCACCAGCCCCTGGGTTAGGTTGACAGCCCACCCCTCCTGCCCCCAACCCTTGCGACTTACATGGATGTGACGTGGGGGATGAGGCTGACACAAGCGGCTAGGTGCTTCACCACCACACCCCTGAGGGCAAGGGCCCGTTGAGTGAGTGCCTCCTGAACTGGCAGCGCAGTCCAGAGGCAAGCGTCCAGAGGTGGGAGGGCACTCCCCCACCTCCAACCCGTCCCCCTGCAAGCTCACCCTTCCCCACCCCCGCCGAGGTTCCCACCTGGCGATCTCCTTGGCGGCCTTCTCATTGGGGCAGGTGACAAAGGTTACCGACACGGAGCCGGGGACATATCCGGAGCCCAGGAGCGACGGGGGGTGGGCCCGGGTACTTCCAGAGGCCGAGGCCATGGAGAAGAGGGCTCGGGGTATCCACAGAAGGCGGGAGGCCACGGGCAGGAGCGCCGGCATCCAAAGCAGCGACAGGAGCAGAACGGCCTGAGAGCAGAGGGCGACTTCGGCGTCTCCTCGAACAGCCTGCGCCCCAACAGGCACTCCGGCGCTGCCCCCCCGATCCTGCCCCCCGAAGGACTAAGTCCCCGAAGCTGGGAGACCGGCGTGCAGAAGCCGGGCGACGATTCGCTTTGACCCCCTCCCGAGGACCGGAGGGCGGGGAGGTGGGTGCGACCCCGAGGACCAGAGGGCGGGGAGGTGGGTGCGACCCCGAGGACTGGAGGGGACGGGGCGGGCCACTCACCACTCCGCCGAGCAGGATCCCTGGCGCCCGCCCCCCGCTCATGCACCCTCTGCTGGGAGAAGAGGATTACACAGCAAGGGCCCCACGTTACCCGGAGAAAGGACCCCCACCCCTGCAAGAGCGGCCGCCTCCTACCTGGGCTGCGGCC